GGCAATGGGAGACCGGCCCAGGTCTCAAAAAGGTTGCCTGTGCCTGTATTAAACAATATACGCACTTGGATACATACTTACACAAACTTATTATCAGTACAATTCCTATATAGTACATACATATATATATATATAATTGTTCTATACTGAATATATTTATGAAAAATAAACTCTGTCAAACCAAAAAGTTATGGTTTATTATTAATTTGGTTTACTTCCTTTCAGGCTGTATTGTACTTTCTTCGGAATCTTTTACTTTTGAATTCTTTTTCTTTAGCAAATAAGTGAAACGTCTATTCTTATTTATCTGTTTACAAATGTTATTTTCTAAGTTCTGTGGTTAAGGTTTAATATACACTATATATATATAATTTATTTCACTCCTATGCCATCTTTCTCCCAAAAAAGGGACCCAAGGCGGCTCACAAGATAAAACATTAAAACATTCCAATAAAAAAATTAAGTTTAAATCTATAAAAAATATATAATTTCATCTTAATTTTTATTTTATTTCTCTATTTGTTTTAACCTTTTCGAAGATTAATTCCCTATTTACATACTGTTTATTTTTCAATGTCATATAAAATATAAATTCATGCTTCTCAGTGATGCTCAAAATGGAGGACATTCTGAAATCCCTCCTGGACAGAAAAGGTAAGAAGGTAGGACATGTCCTGGAAAAGGAGGACCTCTAGTCACCCTGAGTGACGATGCAGCCTGAGGAAACACACTGCAGAAATAATCCAGTTTGAGACCGCTTTAACTGCCCAGGCTCAATGCTAGGGGATTCTGGGAACTGTAGTTCTGTGAGACATAGTCTTTTCTGTCAGAGCTCTGGTGCCACAATAAACTACAATTCCCAGAATTCCCTGGCACTGAGCCAGGGCAGTTAAAGCGGTCTCAAGCTGGTTTATTTCTGCAACGTGTTTTGAACCTGAGACTGTTGCACTTTGGGCATATAATGAGAAGATATGACTCACTAAAAAAGACAATAATGCTTGGAAAGGTGGAAGATAGAGCTGGTATTGTTGAAGGGTTTTTGACTATTGGACCAGGACTCTGGGAGACCAGGGGTGAACCTGGGAAAGTCACACTATCTCAGCCTCAGAGGAAAGCAACGGGTTTGGGGCCCGAGTCAGCTCCCCTCAAGCGCTGCCCAGCCAAGCGCTTCCATCCTCTCATACCATTTATACACTCATTAACAAAACCACCCCCTGAGAAGTGAGGATTGGTTCAGCCTCCCCGTGAGAGGAAAGGAAAAGGAAGAGTCCATGGGATAAGAATGGGGGGGAGGAGGGTGGCAGCAGCGGCAACTTCCCTGGCCCAGTGTTTACCTGAGCGCCTTCGGTGCCTCCTAGCCCTTTGGTTTCTCTCCTCCGCCATGTTCGCCAAGGAGGCCCTCTGACCGCCCAACCGTCGTAGTCTTTGCCGAAGGGGGCGGAGCTCCATCAAAGGGGGCGGGGCAGCGGGACGTAGCGGATAGTTCGGAGGCCGCGAAGGTGGCTGGCTGAGGTAAGAGGGAACAAAATGGCGGCGGAGGGGGAGAAGGCTATGAGGGAGGGACGGGGTGATCCAGGCGCCCTCCTTTTCGGCCTTCTGGCCCAGAAGGGGTTCCAAAATGCCTTCCATTTTGATCATGGCCAAGAAGCATGGGTTTACATTCCTGTATGAGTGTTTTAAGCTTTTATTGGGTCATGTCCCTACATTTTTCTTGCAATGTCCTCCATTTTGAGCATGGCCGAGATGCATGGGTTTAACATTTCTCTAGGAGGGTTTTAAGCTTTTATTGATTTAATGACCTCCATTTTGAGCATGGCTAAGGAGCATGGATTTCACATTTCTACATGAGTGTTTTAAGCTTTTATTGGGTCAGTGTCCTCCATATTTCTTGCAATGGCCGCCCTTTTGAGCATGGTCAAGAAGCATGGACTTAACATTTCTTTTAGCTTTTCTTGGTTTAATGTCCTCCATTTTGAGCATGGCCATTTTGAGCATGGCCAAGGAGCATGGATT